AAGTTCTGTTCTTGAAAGCCCGACTCCAAGTGGATCCCGATGGCAATCCCAGGTACTTTATAGGTAACACGGCAACCTTACCACCAAGAATACAGGACATTCCTTGCACATATACATTCTCGCCCAGAGGAGTTAATTCACCTTTATACAAGTTCACTTTTAGTCCCGAAACTGCCTCAAATCATAGTAGTACAGTATGCCTTTTAGGTGCTGAATTTGTTGAATGTCATTCTCCAAGAAAATTATGGTGACATCCTGAAATAAAGGATGAGATGTGGAAACTTCGTTACAGGCATTGCCGACATTGAAACCACTAATAAAACCTTCATTATAGCTTTAATCAACATCTTACTCAATACTTCTGTGAACCTGTTGCTTATCATTTGTCTTTTTTCTTGTTTTCCTCCATTGGAAAGAGAGTAAAGTGGCTCTCAGAAATGGACTTTTTGTAGGCATCTGGTTTCTAAACATTATTTAGAGCATGTTTCTTGCTCACAATTTAGAGCATGTTTGGTGTGAAGAAAGGTGGAAATGATGAGGATAAAGTGAAACGAGAAGGGAATAACTAAGTTGGTATGCCAACTGCTAGGAGTTTTGATAGATTGATTGACTTTCTTACACACAAAGTCGTTTTCCCATCACGGGTTCTGCTCCTAGGGAATGGAAGTATGCCCTCAAGTTCTTCAATTCCTATGTTTTTATGTAAATATCGTCATTGATGAAGAAGATTGCGTTAAAAGTCCACTTGCAGTTTTTGATACATTGCAGTTTGCGATAATGTGAAGGAAGAATGTTTTCGATTTCAACGGGCAATACATGATCGATAGGGAAACATAATTTTGATACAAGTGATCTGTCTTTGAAGGGTGTATGATTCATTTTCTTGTCATGGCTTGATTTACGTGTTGACAATTCATGTGTGCCCGCCGCAGGAGGGGGTGCACCGCATTATACCTCAGAAACTTCATGTCGGAGATCAGGGAACAAAAAGTCCGTCGGCATTGTCCAGTATAAGTATTCTCCCTTTCTCCCGTTTGTTTCTTGTTGGAACAGAAGACGGCTATCTGAGAATATGTTGTTAAGTTTTCGCTTCTCTTTTGTAAATTCAAATGCAAGTTCTTTCCAATGATCCTCTCCTCCATTTTCCGTTTACCTTCTTCACTCCTTCCTTTCTTAGGCACTAAGTTATATCTCAGAAATGACAGTAGTTTAGGAGACACATGGAAATGGCCAATGCCCCGCAGGGTATTATATGCCGACACTTCAGTATCTCACATGAATAAGTGAAATTGCTCGATCCATCAGCAACGCTTTATCATTAGACACCGCGACCTAATATGTTCAATCCTCATATTCATGTCCTAGGTACTCGTAGTTTTTTTAAACCTTGCGAGGAAAATATTATCTATGCAGTTTTCATGTTCGGTTCGAACAAAAACGGGCCACTGCAAGTACCACTAAGCCACCGATTTTTGTAAACTGTATGATTAATCCATAGTTGAGTTGATTGTATATGTTACCTTTGTCAATTAGAATTTTTCAAGACTAAACATATGTATTAGAGAGTAGGCGAGATGTCTTCTACTTAATATCCAAATTTCAATATTTAATCCGGAACTTTAAATATCTCTTCCCTCTATAGATATTGAGAAAATTCAGACTAATACTTGTGAGAATCCCTTTTCAAGACCATTAGGCTCATTTTCTGGGAAAATCTTATTTACAAGATATGCTCGGCCAAAGTTCGGTCAATATGATATTTATTGGAGGAAAGTACTGTTTGCATGACATGTAGCAGACTTACTAGAGGATATTGCATTACGCTGTGTAGAAGAGTTCAGCTCCAAACTCAATCGGATGTGCGAGGTGCGAATGTTTCACCAAAAACATGTCGGGAAAGCAACTTTCATGGAGAAACTAATTTTGCAGAATTAAGATGAAAAACAAAGGAATGCCGAAGTGTGTAGTAAAGCAAAATTGGGAACTAGAGATTGGACTTGTTGGTCCTAAGACCGGAAACATGTCACTTAGGGTTTAGTTTACATTTTATTAATTTTTGTTAATGACTTTATGTCAATGAAGTTTACTTAAGGTTTAGTTCACATTTTACTAATTTTTTTTTGAAGAAATAAAAAAATAAAAATAGTATGTGTAGTCGGTCTGGTCCGGTTCCTCATTGGAACCAGGAACTAGACTGCTCGAACACCGGTTCCACTTATAGAAATCGGGAACTGGACTGACTCTCCTCGAAACTGGACCAAACTGGCCGGTTCCCGATTTGGGCGTTCCGTTTCGCACACCCCTAGTGATTGTGTAAGACCACGAGATTCACAATGTTGCCATGTCTCTTGATATTGATCGAATCACCACCGACTTTGAGTCTCTCACGACACAATCCTTTCGGCGAGGACTCACTCTCAATCGTGAATATAATCACATAGCCAAAAACATTGTGTTTCCATGATTGAGATGAGCAATGGAAACTCAATAGTTTCACTGGAAGAGATACCCAAAAGGAAGCTCAGGTCTTAGGGCTCGTTTAGTTCAACTTTGCAAATGAGTCTTGGGGAATGCAAATACCTTTAGGTTAAAGCTCATTGGGGAAATGAAAATGGCGTTTGGTAAAAAATTATTCGTAAATCTACTTTGGCTCAAGTTGTGTTTAACAATTTCTTTTTGCGAAAGGGCTTTGGGATTTTCTTTTTTATTAAAAAAAAAGTTTACCCTTCGCTGAAGTCGACGAAGGGCTACGGCCGCCGGTGAGTCAGATCTGGTGCCGGCGGCCATCGCTAGAGGTCGGGCTACTCCCGGTGAGGGTCGTGCGACCTAGGCGGCCGTCGCTTGAGGTCGCTCGACCCAGGTGACGACGGCGACCCTAGGCAGCCGTCGCCTAAGCGGTTGCGTGATCTCATCGGCCCGTCGCCAGTCCTTCGCTGTCCCTATCTGGTGTCGCCGGTTGCCCTCGCGCAAAGAAGATGAACAATAACTACGAGGGGCAAAATCGGAATATTAAAGAATAAGTGATGGTAATTTGAGAAGAAAAAAATTGATTTCAACATTTGCCAAATGCTGAAAGCTCAAAGCTAGTCCGAACCAACTTTGAGCTTTGAGCATTCTCAATGCTGGCTTTCGAATGCTTGCCAAACGCCCCAGCATTTCCCCAAGGGACTTTCGAGGGAATGCTGAACCAAACGAGGACTTAGTTATCCAGTTGGACCCACTTTTAATTACCCAGTTTGACCTACTTTCACTAAAAAATTTAAACTAATAAATTGCGAGATAATTAAGATATATTAAGTGTCTCATCTTAAACTACATCTCCAATGCGAGACTTCTCTTGCCTAACACTCGCGCATGGGAACCTCAACATCAACAACCAAAGTAAGCTTTCGACTTGAGAACCATTGAAGAACCCTAATTTGGAAGTTAGGATTTTCTCTTTGGATTAGAGAGAGTAGTTGTGGAGAGCTAGAGGGGCAATTGCGCATCTTGCATTCACTTATACACTTAGGCTGCGTTTGGTCGATCGGATAAAAGTCAGGATAAGATATGTTTTATCCTATTCTGTGTTTGGTGGTAGTCCAGGATAGGATAAGGTCGGATATAGACCGGATATAGCCCGGATAAAAAAATCCGAGGGGGGGTGGGATAGACCTGGATAGGATTTCTAATGTCTATTTTTCCAGAAACCCTACGCTCCACTCGCCGTCATCTTCATCCCCACACCTTGTGCGCTTTTACCAAAAAAATTTCTCGGCTTTTTTTCCTTCACCGACTCCTCCGGACCCGTGAATAGCAAAAAAAAAAAAATTTATCCTATCCGATTTTAAATCCGTAGTCTACCAAACAGTGGATAGGATATGAAGAAATCCCAGGATTTCTTATCCTATCCTATCCAGTTCTATCCTGTTTAGAAATCCAGACGATCAAACGCAGCCTAAGGGTGCGTTTGTTTGAGAGAAAGTATTTTCCAAAAATCCGTTTTCCGGACTTTCACCCATTTGATTTGCCGAAAATGGTAAGTAAACTGAAAACACTAACCGGTCAAGGAAAACAAGTATGTATAAAATTAGGAAAATGAATTCCCTAATCTAAGAAGTGAAAACACTTTCCGGAATTATTCATCTTGAATTTGTTAATATTTTTTCTTTTTTTTTCTTTTCTTTTTTCTTTTTTTTTCTTTCTAAGAAGGAAAACATTCATGTATTTTTTTTCTTAATAAAAATAATTTAAAAAATATATATTTTTTTTGATAATTTTCACTATCAGATTTTCATTACCAACAACCGAAAATACATTTTAAGTCTTTCTTAGGTTTTAGCCAAACATCGAAAAATGAACTCATTTTCCTAAAAAATGATTTCCTGAAAAGTATTTTCCAGAAATTGTACATTTTCCGTGAAACAAGACTGCATTTGTTTCGAAAAAAACTTCATGATAAAGGAAATCATTTTCAGAGAAATCATTTTTTAGGAAAATATTTTCTTCTGGAATTTATTTTCCTAACTTTAAACATTCTTATTTCTTTGATAGCAAATGATTTTATGTTTGATAGATCATTTTCAGCAAACCAATCGCGTGAAAGTCCACAAAATAATTCGCATAAATTTCCCTTCACTCAAACAAACACACTCTAACTCTTTCCCTTAACCTATGTACGCTAAGATAACTGGACTAAATCGGCCTATCCACAACGGGCTTCTACATCAAGTTCCGATTACCAAATCTCGCCATAGGACACGCTCAATCACATCTACGTTTCTGGAGGTTGTCTTCTTTTGATTGCACGATATTCAAGAATTCGAAGATTTGATCGTATTATCTGAAGCTTCATGACTCGATTGCGTTTCAAGACGAGACTGGTACTTTGGGTGAGCTTGTCCTTTTAACGTGCGAATGTGCTTTACCCAGTATCTCATTTCTATGTAGGATGATGCCAATGCCATGACTAGCAAGCAGAGGAATCAGGGCAAGGATTGGATACTATCTCCAGAGCGAAAAGTTATTCTTCAAAGCAAAGCATAGCGGTCATGTAAGGCAACTTCAACAAGGCTAGCAACCTCGTATATAAGCCAGCAAATTTCACGAATCCTCTCATCGGTCTTTTTGCTCTTCAAATGGCTAATCCTGCATTTGATGACAAACAAGGTACGTGACTCTCTCTCTCTCTCTCTCTCTCTCTCTCTCTCTCTCTCTCTCGTAAATTGTATCAAAGAACATTAAACATGGGCTTCACTGCCACCAATCTTTTGCCTGCTGTTTCATTTGCAAGAGCAGAGAGAATGGTGTCGGATGCTCCACCAGCTCACTACGTGCTCAGGATACAATCATACTCATTGCTCTCGAAGAACTCTGTTGACAAGTATGAGTCCGGGGTCTTCCAAGCTGGAGGCTACAAATGGTAAAAATGACTTCACTTTTCCCATCCACATAATTCGTTTGCCAATCTTTTTGGGTTCATCGGACAGTGATTCTTCTTTTTGCTGTCTCTTTCTTTTTTCCACAGGAAGATGATTCTTTACCCAAATGGGAACAAGAGCAAGAACGTGAGAGAGCATGTTTCGCTTTACCTGTCAATGGAAGAAACAAGCTCACTCCCCTCAGGTTGGGAAGTTCGTGCTTTGGTTAGATTCTTTCTGCTTGACCAGGACAAAGACAGTTACTTGACAATCCAAGGTATAGATAACTTCAAACCACATATTATCTCGTCATTTTGTCCTCATTTATATAGTTTGGTAAGATTGTAAAAAAAAAAGTAAGCTCTTCGATTAGCAAGTTAGTTAAGCAGCTGAGTGTCTGTTGATAGACGTGATTCTTGTTTTCTTATTCCGCAGATGCCATGAGAAAGGAATGGCGCTTTCACAGGATGAAGCTCGAATGTGGCTTCGACCAATTTCTTCCTCTGAAGACGTTTAACGATGTGCAGAACGGATATCTCATGGATGATACTTGTGTGTTCGGCGCGGAGGTTTTCGTGACGAGGGAAAAGAGCACTGGCAAAGGAGAGAATCTGTTGATGATAAAGGATGCAATCGGTCAGAAGCACGCCTGGAAGGTCGACAACTTCTCAAAATTGGACGAGGAATTCTCCGAGTCAAAAGTATTCATAGCCGGAAACCAGAAATGGTATCGCTCTCAACGTTTCTGATATAGTCATGCACTAAACAATGGATGTTAATCTCCTCTGCTCACTTGCCTCATGATGTGCTCCTACACTGATCATGGAGAACAATGAACTGTCTTGACAAAAACATTTTGGGTCATATTTTTTGAGGAAGTTTCTTCAATTTGTCTTCTGATTGGTGGGTCACAAACAACGCACGTTCATTTTGCTAAAATTTGTATAAGGGTGATACCTATATTGGTAACCCAACATTTAGATGCATGTTTTTCTTGCTGGAGATGGAACTACAACACTGAAAAAATCCTCACCAAGTTCAGTACCATCCGTCCTTCCAGGAGTGAATAGGATTGGGCATTTAAGCGAGTGAACCACTTTATTCTTCCATTAAATGTAGTCAAGTCTTGCAAACAAGAATACATTGATTCATCATACGATGCGTATGCCATTGATTCAGGAAGATACGGCTCTATCCAGACGGAAAGGGAAGCGGACTCGGAGGTTTCGTCTCTCTATATTTAGTTTTAGCCGACGCGAACACCCTTCCTCCTGGCACTAAAGTATATGCAGACTTCTCGCTGCGCATCATGGATCAGCTTCAAGGAAGGCATTTCTCTGGAAAAGGTGATTACTTCTTGTAAGAAATACAGTTACGAGCGATTGAATTCTTGTTATTGACATTGGAAACGCATTCTCTATCTCTCTTTCTTATGCAGCTAATCACTGGTTCAGTGCCTCGACCGAGGAGTCTGGTTGGGCGAGATTCATTTCGCACGCCACCTTCTATTACCCCAACATGGGCACTTTGGTGAAGGACACCTGCGCAGTCGAAGCGGAGGTCACCGTCCTGGGCGTGGTGAACGCGGTATGAAGCCGCCATTCTGTTGAGATTCACACTGTCAATCAGTAGCATCGTTGTGAATATTCGCATACCAGCACTGTAACGATAACGATACAGACTATTTCCAGGTTGCTTTATATCAGTACATGACTCAAAAAGAATAAAATTAAAATTTGAACCCTGATCCGAAAGATACGCACCAAAGCACACATTGTTCTTCTCCGCAAAGTCTTTACTGCCAGTCTGACGATAAATCAATTTTGCTATATGATGAACTTGGTACTCGTCAAAATAACTTCTCCTCCTCCCCAAAAATTTATTATTTTGCTCCAATGAGCTTAAAGATTTTGTGCACCAGCACATTGTTTCCAGAGACATAATCTTGGCGCGAATTGTCCCTGAAAGTTCGGTCTTTGTACAAATTCTCGAGTGCGCCCACCCGGGCACGACCAAACCCATTTTAGATGCTTATTTGAATGTTAAAGGGCATTCAGTTCTCTCCAATTTTCAGTCGATTTGCATGTTCAAATAGGAACATCTTGTTGGTATGCTCTGCTAGGACACCACCCAAAAAATATAAAGACGTATCCGAATTTCCGTCTAGATACCCACTTATATACCTCTTTCTCTTGAAATACAAGTCTGTACCCTAAATTTAGCGAATTGTTCATCTATTTACGATTTTGTCACTTTCCTTTCCAAATATTTCTCTCTTCATTTTGTTCCGCACGTCTCCCTCTTCTCAAGCTCGCGCCGCGGCCGCGGCCGCCGGAGCTCGAACTCCGAACTCGCGGCCAGGCCTGCGAGGTCTAGTGGCCAAACCGAAAGTGATTAGCGACGGACTCATACAAGCGAAGACAAGGAAGGATTGCAAGAACCGCGCATTGAATTGATTCCCGCTTTCAGGGGCTGATTACTGTATATTTCCAACCAATTTCACCTACTCGCACGCTCCTTTCAATCTTCTTGCTGGAGCGTCGACTTGGTTTGAGCTCGAAATCGTTCGACCATGGCTTCTTCTTCCTTCCCTCCCTCGTGATAACATCGTCCGCCCATAATGCGATTTCTCATGAAACAGCAAAATTTGTCCTTCTGCGAGATATCATCCGTCTTCGTTTTGTCCCCGAAGGAACGCCAGATATGGCCACGGCGAGCGGCGTAACGTTGGAGGGGCGGTAGGAGATGATGGGGTTGCCGGCAGAGAGGAATGGTGGCGGTGGACTCAGGTTGACCGTGACATGAGATTGTACTCGCCACAGCCAGACCAGTATAAGCAAATATGGCGTGGGTTCACATAGTAGTCATAAAGAAATTCATCCCATCTAGATTGGTTCACGGTAGTCGTCTTCTCGTTCCATACAATGCTCTTGGAAAAAAAAAGAAAAAGAAAAAGAAATTAGGATGAGTTATTTAGCTAGACAAAATCAAATAAGCAACCTGTTGTATAAGTCAAAATTCACCATGCTGATGCATTTTTGGTATGCGATAGCAAGAATGATTATCCTTTGTCACAGATGGAATTCATAATTGAGCTTTTTTGCATGAGAGTTGCGAAGGATCCTTCAACTGAAAAGACGAAATTACCAATACCTTTTTCTTTTGGCCAGAGAATTACCAATACTTCTGTGGTTAAAAGACACAAACACGTATACACTTGGACTCCATTTGTTTCGCGGAAAAATGAATGCTCTGAAAAATATTTTCCGAAAAATGATCGCTTGTATTACTTGAAATAAAAAGTCAATTAAGATCTTGAAACAATACATGTCTAAACATCTTCTTGGACAATGAAAATATTTTTCATAGATTCATTTTTGTAAACGATACAAGTGTTCATTTTACGCACCCTTAAATTTGATCGAATGTAGCGGCACACTTTATGTTGAGTTGAATCCATTTAGTTTTGAAAAAATTTAACGTTACCTGTAAAAGTTTTGAGTAAAAATAAAAGCTGCCACGTTAAATTTTACCGTCACCTTAAACTAAGACCTTACAGAGATATTTGATTTTACGATATCCTAGGACTTGATTTTGTTATTGGAAGTTTCGTGACTTGGCTGCATTTTGAGAAACAGTTAGTACTTCCGGTGTGCTTGTCTTTCTGACGTGCCAATGCACATACCAAATATCTCATTTTTATGTATGATCATGCCATGACTAGCAAGAAGAGAAATCAGGGCAAGGATCGGAACTTTCTTTTCCTTGCTAGTGTTTTTGCTTTCACGGTTCTTCAGTGGAATCAGGGCAAGGACTGGATTCTATCCCTAGAACGAAAAAGAAACTCGTCTTTAAGCAAAGTATAGCGGTGCTGTAAAGTAACTTCAAAAAGGCTAGCAACAGATGCATATGAAATATTATATATAAGCCAATAAATTTCACGGATCCTCTCATCAGTCTCTTTACTTCGCAAATGGCTAATCCTGCATCTGATGATCTACAGGGTATGTGACTCTCTCTCTCTCTCTCTCTCTCTCTCTCTCTTCTCTCTCTCTCTCGTAATTTGTACAAAAGAACATCGATCATGTGCTTCACTGCCATCAATCTTTTGCCATGTGTTTCATTTGCAGGAGCAAAGAGAACGGTGTCAGAAGCTCCACCAGCTCAGTATGTGGTCAAAATACAATCATACTCATCTCTCTCAATGAACTCCGTGGACAAGTATGAGTCGGGGGTCTTCCCAGCTGGGGGCTACAAATGGTGACGATCCTCCACTTTTCCCATCCACATATCTATTTACCAATCTTTCTGGGTTTACTGGACAGTGATTCTCCTTTCTTGTTTTCAAAGGAAGCTGGTTCTTTACCCAAATGGGAACAAGAGCAAGAACGTGAAAGAGCATGTTTCGCTTTACCTGTCAATGGCAGAAACAAGCTCACTCCCCTCAGGTTGGGAAGTTCATGCTTTGGTTAAATTCTTTCTGCTTGACCAAGACAAAGACAGTTACTTGACAATCCAAGGTATAGCTTCAAACCACATATTATCTCATCACTTTCTCATCTATTTATACTCTTCAATAGTTGTGCCACATGGTCAACATGCATTCTCTTAATGCATGCATGATCAAGCAACATACCATCTCCTTTATACCAAGTTTTATTTATAATTATAAATCCATGGTCAATATGGCTACCCTATTTCGCAAAAAAGGGAAAAAAATATTGAATTAAGTAATAGAGAATAGGAACGCTCTTTTCCTTTTCATGCTTTGAGTCATTTAAGTTTGAGTTTATCCTTGTGAGTATACTCTTAATGGGTCTAAGCAATTAAGCAATGAATGTTCATGGTAGATAAGCAGCAAGAATTGGTTGATTGATTCAATTCTTGTCCTTCCCGCAGATGCCGTGAGAAAGGAATGGCGCTTTCACGGGATGAAGCTCGAATGTGGCTTCGACCAATTCATACCTCTGAAGATGTTTAACAATGCGCAGAACGGATATCTCATGGACGATACTTGTGTGTTCGGTGCGGAAGTTTTCGTCACGAGGGAAAAGAGCACCGGCCAAGGAGAGAACCTGTCGATGATAAAGGACGCAATCAGTCAGAAGCACGTGTGGGAGGTCGAAAACTTCTTACAAATGGACGAGAAATTCTACGACTCGAAAGTATTCATAGCCGGAAACCAGAAATGGTATCGTTATTGACGTTCCTCGTATAGGCATGGGGCTAAAAATTGGATGTTAATCTCCTCTGCTCACTGGCTTGTGAAATGCTGCTATACTGATCATGGAGAACAATGAACTTTCTCGACAAATGTATTTTGAGTCATATTTTTCCGATAAAGTTTGTTCAACGAGTCTTCTGCTTGGTAGGTTAAACAGGACATTACAACATTTGCAACCCAACAACAGAGGCATGTTTTTCCTGCCGGAGACGGAGGAAACACGGTCCAAAACTTTTGCTACAACTCAAAAAAAAATCCTCACCAAGTTCAGTGCCATCTGTCCTTTCAGGAAGGAATGGGACTGGGCATTTAAGCTAGTGAATCACTCTATTCTTCGATTAACATTGCGAAGTCTAGAAAACCAGAATACATTGATGGATCAGGTGTTGTGTGTGTCGTTCATTCAGGAAAATACGGCTCTATCCGGACGGGTCGGGAATTGGACTTGGAGGTTTCGTCTCACTGTTTTTAATTTCCGCTAACGAAGACACCGATCCTCCTGGTACTAAAGTATTTACAGGCTTCTCGCTGCGCATCATGGATCAGCTTCAAGGAAATAATTACTTTCGAAATGGTATCCATTTCTTGTGCGAAAACAAGCTACGAGCGATTGAATTCTTGTTTTTGACATTGAAAACGCGTTCTCTCTCTCTCATGCAGCTAACGCCTGGTGCAGCGCCTCGATCAACTGGGGTTGGGACAGATTCATGTCGCACGCCAACTTACGTTCTCCGAACAGAGGCTATTTGGTGAGGGACACTTGCGTGGTCGAAGCAGAGGTCACTGTCCTCGGGGTGGTGAATGCGCTGTGAAGCCGCCATCCTGTCGAGATTCACACTGTCAATCAGTAGTATTGTTGTGAACATTTTCATACCAGCACAGTAGTGATATGATACAGATTATTTCCGGGTCCTGATTCTCTCATGCCATCCAGTCCAGTCGTCTCTATGGGTCTCCAATTGTTGCTTGATATTAGCATATGACCTCAAAAGAAACAATTAGACATTGGACCTTGATCCGAAAGATAAGAATCAAAGCATACATTCCCTCAGCAAAATCTTAACTACAGTCTGAACCGCTAATCGCTTCAACAGATCATTGCACTCTTCTCATAATATCATCTGAGTATCACTATGTAAATCAATTCTCCGCCTGACTAAATATTTATGAACTTGGTATTCATCACATCACTGTTTTTGCCCCCCCAAAAATTATTATTTTGCTGGAATATGCTTAAGGTTTTGTGCATCAGAATATCGTTTCCAGAGACATAATCTTTGCGTGAATTGTCTCTAAAAGTCTAGCCTTTGTACAAATTCTTGAGCGCGTGCGCAAATTATGATGCTTTATCTGGGCACGACGAAACATTTGTAGAGGCTTTGTTTGAATGTTAAAGGGCCTTCAACTCGCTCTAAATTTTAGTCAAATGTGAATGCTAAAGTAGTAATATTGTGTCGGCATACTCTGTCAATAAAAATAAAATAAAGAGAAAATATCGAAAACATATATGAATATTCACCTAAACACCCACTTATACTTCTATTTTTTATATAAAAAAATACATTTTTGCACCCTTAATTTAGCAAATTGTCCATCTATTTACAATATCGCCATTTTCCTCTCCAAAATATACCCTTGCTTTCTCACATAATAGACAATCGCAACCTCCTCTCTCTTTTTATCTCGTTTATCTCTCTCTTTCTCAAGCTTTGCTAGTGGCCAAACCGAAAGTGATTAGATTGCAAGTGTGACGGCCCAAGCCAAGTGGCGGAGCGTGGGGAGGAGGGATGGCGGTGCGTCCGCGCCACTACCCCGCACGTGTGCAGGGAAGTGGGGTACCTCTCTTGTCCCACATCGCCCAGGGGGGAAGTTCTGGGCTAATTGATAAGCCTTGGGTGGCCTATATTGTGTAACGCGTTTCACACAAGCTTCCGCTGTGATGAGAACAAAGCCTTGAGAGGGATGGCGGTGCGTCCGCAATATTGGGCTTGGGAGAGGGATGGCAATGCGTTCGCGCCTCTGCCCAAGACAACGCGTCTTCTGCTCGTGCTTAGACTTGGTTCGAGCTTGAAATCGTTAGAACATGCCTTCTTCTTCCTCCTTCCGCCACGACGACGACATAGTTTATATCCATCACACAATTTCTCGCGAAACAGCAGAGTCGAACCCCGATACGAGCTCGCGGCCATGGCCACCACGATGGGAGTAATGTTGGAGGGGCGATCCGAGACCGGCAATGGGGAGGGGGACTTACGTTGAGAGTTTAAGTGTGTGGATTTTGTCTAGAACTTTTCGGAGATGAAGGGTATTTTCGTCATTTTAGTACCACGGAGGTATGAAAGTTGTGTGTCGGGTGGTGATGAAAACTCAAGTATGTATTTGGTAGTTTCTTTACAAGTACTGTGTATTTAACTAAAAATACACAAAACTAAATCTTAAAATTACCAAAAAAAATTGGTAGTTTTCGATTCAACAACTATTTTGGGCAAAGTTGTATGAAGAAAAGATCATAAGTCCTAATAAGATTATTAAGTCAAATTATTATTTAAATTGATTTTCAAACTTACACGCCATCTAAGTATTTCTCAAGAACATATTCTGAAGTCAGTACTTAGACATGACCTGCAATTGCGTGACATTCTCATCATATTTGCCGCGGCTACCGCTCCATGATGCTAATAACTTATCTCTCGATCACATTCATTCCATTTAAAGGCAGACATTTATCACCTTGAATGAAGAAAAAGAGATAAATCACCAATCGGTGGCGACTTTCTTCTCACCTGTCACGCCCCGTACCTTACAAACACGTAACATCCCGCCGCGGTCGTTGAGAATGCGACTCCCAGGATTCATCGCCGACCCATTACCATCGAATAAGAGAATATACGCGGAAGCCAAATGAACACTCCATTCAACAAACCAACAAACCATTTTATAAACTTAATGTCACATACAGCCAAAACATATAGAAGCCTTCCTAAAGGCCACAAACTCAGACTACGCATACTCAAAAAGGGATAGGGTGGTCGATCTGCTCCACTACTCTATTCAAAAGAGGAGCTCCAAAAAGATAGGAATTTCTAACCCTATCAAAAACCTCCACAGCATCCTGGCGGCGCTCCTGGCGAAGTCGGGTCAGATGCCTCGCTATAAGAACCAGGCGGCAAAGGCTCCGGTTCAGGGTCTGACTCGTCGGACCACGCCTGGGGTTCCGTAACCATCGGTTCGGACTCAGGATTAACAACAACTCCATCAGAGGGAACAATCTCCATAAGATCCCACTCTCCTAAACCATCGTCAGGGGGAATATCAAATTCCCGGAGAGGACCAAAAGTCTGAGCTCCATTCCTCAGAAACCATCCCATATACTTGTGAGCTGTCAAGTACTGCTCACAATCATCTACCCAAATTGTACTCTCATACTTCTGATACTCCCTATTCTCACCAGCTGGGTACTCAGTCACCCAATGCTCCATTTCCGTTGGTACCTCGAAACGTAGCGGAGGCTCAGTCATAATCAAGGTCGAGGGACTGAAATGTTTAACAACGGAGAATGAGATAAAATCTCAATAAGTAAACTGCCTAAGTCTTGACTAGGGCAATACGTACCTCTAGCACCCTAATCATGCAATTCTAACCAATAGGGTAAGTTCCTATCAAACGAACAATGGTACTACATACTATGCAAAGTCTCGAATTGCATCACAACCATGGCATACTATCAATATGCATAACAACAATAATAATAATCCAGACATACTCAATCATTCACACGAGTCTCGATTATAAGATGAAATCACTTCGACCTGTCCTATATCGTGCCTCACGATTTTATCCCATAATCAAGCGCAAAGCATGCCATATGCACATAACACTTGAAGTTGTCCAGATTATTAACGACCCACCAAGGTCACACCGAACTCCAGCCGGTCTTCCGGCATAGCCAAGCATCACCCTACTACTTTGGGCATGGCAACGTCCAGGATCGAACCCCCCAACAAGTCGGGTATCGGACGGCATTCCATTTAGGAGCATCGATCCGGCCTCCACCGCGATCGGCAATGTCTAGGATCGAAACCCCCCCCCCCCCCCCCCCACGATAAGTTGGGTACCAGACAGCATCCGAACTTCCCCCGGGCATCGTCTAGAACTCGTCTTGGACGGAATTCACCATGGCTATACACGTAAACAACCACGCATTGCCAATTTTAATCTTCCTTAATTAGCCAATGCAAGTGTTTATGACGTGCAATTTACTACGAATAAATATGCCATGAATCGCACTCGTTTTCGTATCAAACATCAATATATGATCACGATATGCCATGTTAAGCCAACAATAGCCATAATTAACCACACGATCCACTTTTAAAATCCTACGATTATTCATCAAGTGCAAGATCAACCATGAAATATCAATTTCAACCATACGATCTTCATTCTAGGCCACGAAATCGTCATTCCAACCACACGATCAAGCCATAGTCAACTACTCAGCCATGATTAAATAAATTAACCATACGATTAAACAATTTAATCATGCGATCGGCATTAAACAACTAATCCACCACACGATCGTCATTAAACATTTAATCGGCACATAATCGACTAATTAGCCATGCGATGGTCAATCAAAGCCACACAATCAACTTCAAATCTCTAATAAGCCATATGATCAAATTTTATCACATCCTAATTTAATTTAAACCGTGCGATCAAAATTAGCACATAATCATGTTAATTAAGCCCTAAAATTAACATTAACCAATCTAGAATCAATGGGGGCCATATGATCAATGTCCAAATCATCCAATTCAGCCACTACCACATGATTATTGCAGCCACAAGACTAACCCACGAATTTAATTAAAACAACCAATAAACAAACATAATTAGCCAAATTAAGCACAATTAGCAACATTAAACATATGCTCAAGCTCAAGTCACATAATCTACCTATCTTAAAATTCAGATCAACCATATAATCATCAAATCCAGCCACCAACAAATCCTTAATTCAGCATCTACCATAACCCCTAAATTACCCTAACAACCCCTAAACACTATCCATTGGTAACCTACTAACCTAATCAAGGTTTAGGGAGTTACTTACCACTAATTTAAGCTAAGAACTAAGCCAAAACCAGCAGCACCAGTCCCGGCCAAGCCAAGAGCTCCGGCGAACGGCGGCGGCCCAAATGGCGATCCGGTGAACGGCGGCTGCTTTGGGTGTGAACGGCGGCTTGGGGGCAGCTCACGGTGGTCCAGGGTGGTGGCGTGAGGTGCTGGTAGGTGGTGGACGGTGGTGGTGGGTGTCTCGGTCAAGGGAGAGGGAGAGAGAGAGAGAAAAATGAAGAGAGAGGGAGAGAGAGCAAGGAAAAAGTGAGGAGAGAGAGAGTGAGCTGAACATATCTCTCAAATGGATGGCTTGGATGAGTCCTTGATGCCCAAGAAAAATCCAAAGGCTAGGAATGCATCTTGACAAAAGGCTTCTAGAATGGCATTTTTGTAATTAATCAAAAAAAAGCAAGGGCAAAGCTATCCAAGAGAGGGAATTTCGGCCACTAGGGTAAAAAGATCATTATGTCCTTCCACTCAACAAATAAACTCTAGAACACACAGGAGTAAAATCGTCTTTTCCAATTTCCAAGCCAATTTTCACTTTTTCGAGAATTTCTGAGCAAACCGATAATAAAGTGAGCTTAACGCGGCGTCGTCCAATATAATAATTTTGATATCCTTGAAAGTTCTATACCCAAGTTCGGATTCCAATTCGTGGCCAAAATCGATCAAACGCGACTTTCGTGTA